CATCCAAACATTGATTGAAGTCGGCGTCATAACGCTCAATTGACTCGAATGAAGACTCCGACAAGTATAAGAGTATAAACAGCTCCTTCTGACACTCCGAAGAGTATACGAGTATAAACTGCTTCTCAATCCTCCAATCAGTATATGAGGTTAAACTGCTCTCTAATACTCCAACAGGTATATGAGTCTAAACTATTTCCTTTCTTTCACGGGAAGTTCCTGGAGAGTGTCAATCCTGGTATTCTTAAAGATAACCCGGTCATCCAACTAAGTATAATGTTAGACTCGGTTTTACAGAGAAAGCTAGGGGTGGATGATTCATGTAACAGGAAGTTCCCAAAAGAATGTTATAGGATGTATTCTTAGGGATAACCCGGTCATTACAAAGAAATGATAAATGAGAAACTCCCACTCGGACTTTGAATCTTCCAACCACTCTTTTATTGAGACAAGATTTGATCACTTCGTTGGATGAATCTTTCCTCATAAAAAACTCCCACTGGTGTTGACGATTCATAATTCTCCACCACAAAGTCCCTCACTGATCAAATTAATTGACAGTTAGACCACTAAAATTCTTTCTGGTTTAATCCATCCAAACTCCCGCTACGTCTGTGCACTCAACACTCCCATTGTTAGAGTCTGGACATAGTATTCGGAAGTTTAATCTCCTGATTATTAACAATTGTCAAACCCCTTCGTGTTAAGTATTTGTTACTTAACACTAGGAACCCTCTTTGAGTGACTCGTACGAATCAACACTCCCGCTGTAATTTGTACTCTCACTCTCACTGTTCACTTGGTCAAACCTTCCTACAATTAAGACCACAACACCAAAATCCCCTCTCAATTCCCCCAATGAACGAGAGGTCCACAAATCGAGCAATCAAACCTTCCTACAGTTAGGATCGTCTCAAACCTCCCACCTGGTTAAACCTTCCTACAGTTAGAGCCAAAACCGCAATTCACTCTCGATAAACGAGAAACTCATCTTTAGTTCGGTAATCAAACCTTCCGACAGTTAGGATTATCTGAATCTTTTCGATTCTCAGAGAGTCAGAGTGGAGATCCTACTCTTAATTTCACCTTCCCTGATTCTTGAAGTGGAGATCCTATCTTAAGTTTCCTTTGCAACTGGAGATAGAATATAAAATTCTTCTTCTTCAGTTTTGGGATATAGAATATAAAATTCTTCCTCTCCCGCATTGGGTTTATCTTTACCCCAAAAGAAGACCTGGAAAAAGAATATAAAATTCTTCCTCTTCAGCATCGGGTTCGTCTTTGTCCCAAGAGAAGACATCATCTTTCAACTCCAAAATCCATGCTTCACACGCATGGGTACTTTTATCCCGAAGCCTAAGTAAGGATAAATCAGCGCCTAACACGCGTTGTCGATTAGTCTTTTGTCGTGAAAAGGACAAAAACTCACATATTCAACATTGTGGCAGGTTGTTATTAATAACACCATAAGTATTTGTTACTTAACACTAGGAACCCTCTTTGAGTGACTCGTACGAATCAACACTCCCGCTGTAATTTGTACTCTCACTCTCACTGTTCACTTGGTCAAACCTTCCTACAATTAAGACCACAACACCAAAATCCCCTCTCAATTCCCCCAATGAACGAGAGGTCCACAAATCGAGCAATCAAACCTTCCTACAGTTAGGATCGTCTCAAACCTCCCACCTGGTTAAACCTTCCTACAGTTAGAGCCAAAACCGCAATTCACTCTCGATAAACGAGAAACTCATCTTTAGTTCGGTAATCAAACCTTCCGACAGTTAGGATTATCTGAATCTTTTCGATTCTCAGAGAGTCAGAGTGGAGATCCTACTCTTAATTTCACCTTCCCTGATTCTTGAAGTGGAGATCCTATCTTAAGTTTCCTTTGCAACTGGAGATAGAATATAAAATTCTTCTTCTTCAGTTTTGGGATATAGAATATAAAATTCTTCCTCTCCCGCATTGGGTTTATCTTTACCCCAAAAGAAGACCTGGAAAAAGAATATAAAATTCTTCCTCTTCAGCATCGGGTTCGTCTTTGTCCCAAGAGAAGACATCATCTTTCAACTCCAAAATCCATGCTTCACACGCATGGGTACTTTTATCCCGAAGCCTAAGTAAGGATAAATCAGCGCCTAACACGCGTTGTCGATTAGTCTTTTGTCGTGAAAAGGACAAAAACTCACATATTCAACATTGTGGCAGGTTGTTATTAATAACACCATAATCCGTGCCTTACACGTACGGGGAATTTTATCCCGAATCCTAAGTAGGGATAAGTCAGCGCCTAACACGCGTTGCTGGTTTAGTCTTTTACCGATTGAAGAAAACACCAGAATCCCAGTCTGGGGACTTTTATCCCGAAGCCTGAGTAGGGATAAGGCAGTGCCTAACACGCGTTGTCGATTAGTCTTTTGCCGTGAAAAGGATAAAAACCCACATATTCGACATTGTGACGGGTTGTTATTAATAACACCATAATCCGTGCCTTACACGCACGAGGAATTTTATCCCGAATCCTAAGTAGGGATAAGTCAACGCCTAATATGCGTTGCCGGTTTAGTCTTTCACCGATTGAAGAAGACACCAGAATCCAAGTCTGGGAACTTTTATCCCAAAGCCTAAGTAGGGATAAGTCAGCGCCTAATACGCGTTGCCGGGTAGTCTATTCCCGTAAGAAAGACGAAGTCTACGTATTCAATATCGTAGCACTAAGAGAGTTGACTCTCTTAGCACAACGTCATATACGAAACGGACTTAAACAATCCGCATGTAAGCCCGATTCAAACGGTAATCGGTAAAGGCATATCAAATCCGTTGAAGGATGAGGGTTTGCCAAAAATCCTAAGTCTACGTGTGATACACGTAGCTTTTTAGTCTTTTCACAGGAGAAAGACGAAGTCTACGTATTCAATATTGTAGCACTAAAAGAGTTAACTCTTTTAGCACAACGTTACGTGCAGAACGGATTTAAACAATCTGCATGCTAGCACGACTTAAACGGTAGTCAGTAAAGGCTAATCAAACCCGTTGATGGCTGATAATTTGCTAAAAAAATTCTATAAATGTAAGAGTCATTGACGCACCAGCCCCATTAGTTGGTCTCATGACTTAAACATCCAACAACTTCAGAATAAGAGCCATACATGCAGATGAATCAGCTTTAACAGTTGATCCTGCAGCCCTAATATTTGGGACCTCCGCGCTCCAATACCTTAAGAGCTTAAACTGTATAAACTCCAGCAAACGTACGAGTATAAACTGTGTTAACGCCGGTCAGTGCGTTACAGCAAAGGTTAACGCCGATCAACGCAAAGGTCGATGCCGGTCAACGTATCAGCAACTTCGCCAAAATAAGGCAAAGGATGATTCCTGTGAGTTCAATCACATTCAGATATGAATTTCTGACGAAGATGATCAGTTCAAAGTCAGCTCAATGTCGTGAGCTAAATTTACACATCAACTTCAGTTCAAGATTTCGACAACAGTCAGACGATAAACGTAGCGCCGGAAGAACTTTATTTATTCGACAAAACACTGAATAGACTGAAAGCTGAAGAAGTCAAAATTTGAAGCAGTTCACAGGTCCCTCTACGAGATTGAGAAAATGGCCTATCTTATCCAAAGCATTTCAGACTCTTCTATAAAAGAATGAGTCTGAAATACTTTGGAGGGGATATCTGTAGATGTCTAAAAATACCTATAAGTGTCCACATACAGCTCGAGACGGAGAGAAGATGACGAACGTCATTATCCGAGTCTAAGAGGATTATCTGATGCTGACAAGTGCATGAACCGGAATGACGAACCAACTGTGTCTCGTGCGCTCACCGGCCACCTCCAATTGGCCGTCACACATGTCGGTCGGTACGCGCGAGTCAGTTAGCTCGCGCACGTCAGTCAACGCGCGCTTGTCAGTCAGCTCGCACACATCAGTCAGATCCAAAGTGTCCGCCGTGCTTGTCGGTCACATCCAAAGTGCCCGCCGCGCTTGTCGGTCAGATCCAAAGTGCCCGACGCGCTTGTCGGTCAGCTTCGAATACCGTAAAGAAGCTAACGAGTGCATGAATCAAGTTAGCGAAGCGTACAAGTCACAGCACGAGCCGACCCGCGCCCCCCGTGGGTCAGCAGGGCCCATCGCGCTGTTTTGATCCCCAAACGCGTTTTCGACGGTTTTAAGCGGTTTTCTCGGGATTTACCTGTTCCAAGGGTTCCCAACTAACTTGATATCATCCACAAACGTAGTTAGGCCGTTATTGACTGAAGATAAGACCAAATCATTTATTCTTATCCAAATACCCTCCAACCGAAGCCTATAAATACAGGGCTAGGGGCTCATTTCACAAAGCGAAGATCAAGAGGGCGAAACGCTGCCGAATTAGAGAGTGAAGCCACAAATTTACAGCAAATGTTAGCAGATCTTAGCGAGTTCCTGTGCATAAAGAGTGAAGTTCGAGAGATCTGATACCCGTCCCCTATTCCTCCGGATTTAAGCTTAGTCATAATCTCGAGAAGAGCCGTAATCTCGCTTGGTCGGGATTATCGCTACAGCGATTACTTCCTTCGTGAAGTAAGAATTTTGATTAACTTAATCTGTCAACTGTATTTGATCCGCAACGTTCCACGAATATTAACATCCCCGGTACAGACGAAGTTCCCACACAAATAGCGGGTGATAAACATCTATTGCGCTGTTTGACAAAAATTATATTATTTTATATTTTTATTGTATAAGTCAATCTTATAAAAATCTATTTTTCTCGTTTATTTGAGTTTATTATAACGACCAAAGTTGTAATAGATTTGATGACAATGAAAACATCAACTTTTGACCCCCCACTTTTAACCCAAACATAGACGGTTGTTTTCCCAAATATTATTAAAGCAAAAGTCATCTTGTGGATTCAATGATACACACAATAAAGACATTCACCAGTAGTTATTCGCAACCTAACACTGCAACAACAAAGAAAACGCAAAGGCACCAACACCCAAACGAAGTCCAAGCGTCGATAACCAGGACTCGGGCCGTGAAAATTGCCCAATATTCATCGACTGACATTTGACACCCAAAGCCTAAAGAAAACTAACGTAACCACACTTCAATGAGCAACAATTCAGTTGTAAGTCGGTGTCACGTACTGAAAAATTGCGATGGTTCAAAATCTAAAAATCAAGATAGCACACTTCCCAACCTCCATCACTACAACCTTACATTAGGTAGGTAGAACCACCCTTTGATGTGTAATAAAACCACATATACTCATTAGAAAACATTGTACTCAAGCAATACCAAACTTAGATATGAATAAAATCCACTAAAGCTCCCAAGGCTGAGAGAGCAATAAGCGACTAGATTATCTATCCAGCTGCCAGCTTACTGGCTCACAGATAAAGACCTATCTCTGTGAGATGGCTTTCTTGATTAGTCTTCACTCCTGCTCCTTGACCTGCTGTCGGATGGAGAACGAGAATATGACCGACCACGATAGTAGCTTCTACCTCGAGGTGAAATAGACCTGTGAAAGGATTCAAAACAATACAAATGTGGACTTGTGAAGATCTTTAAAACATATCTGGATGTGTATTAATATGAAAAGGTAAAGACTGACGTGACCATTTATTTTATTGGATGAGCTATCCAAGTGATAGATTAGTATCTGTTAAACAAACCCTACTACTTACATTGAAATGGGTGGAACTCACCACTCTTATCCTTTGTTTGTTCAATTTGCAATGAGATACAACTCATATCATTGTGTGTTGGGAAGGGCGCAAGAAGAGCGCGTGTGTGTGCGCACGTATCGTATAAAGGAAGAGACAAAAAGGGTGTTGAGCTAGTATCTGTTAAAAAGTTAATATAATATTTGTACATCAAACTTTTTAACCATTGGATCAATATTTAATTAGGTGTGAGTTGCTATTATTCAATGGCAGTAGAGCGAGAGATCTTGATCAATCATGCTCATCCAATGGTTAAAAAGTCGGGTGCACAAACCTTACATATTATATATAGTTCGATGGCTGTGATGTGGTCGCTAACTTTGTTAAACGAGCTACCAAGAGAGAAAAGGTTGAAGGCGCACCCATCCGATGTGACTAACGTGTCAAGTAGGGTTCGCCTCACCACATGCCAAGAGAATCCATCTCTTGGTAGCTCAAATCAAAATGAACCCTCCACCTCATACATTATACCGCCTCTCCGACACACTTATATACATATCTATATGTAGCGCGTGCACATAATACACAAAAACATGTGTCTGTATGTATAGTACATATAAATATACATGCATATATACACATGCACGCACGCACATATCTGTATGTAGTGTGTAATAGAGACACAAACACGTGTATGTATGTATAATACATATAAATATGCATGTATATATATATATACACACACACACACTACACGAAAAAAAAAATATATTATCTGTGCAGTATGTAGACAAATATTATATACCAATAATACAAAATGATACCTTGAATAGCCCCTCCTTGATGATGGCGAATAATAACCATGGCTCGGGGAGTGCGACCTGCTGTACCGCAAAGAACGAGAATATCGGGGAGATGGGGATCTGGAATAACACGAACGGGAATATCTAGGCGGAGACCGGTAATCATATGATCGACTCCTATGAAAATGTAGTACACATTTTGAATTAGGAATATAAATAGTTGACGAGCGTCTACAACACAAGGAATAGTTTGAGACAGTCCCTCGGTACCAAAATAAGATCGAAAATCCAACAGATTCTAAACCCATAAGTACAATAAAACATAATCCTTCCTATTAAAAAATTTGTACAAATTACTACGCTTAATCATCAGAAACATAACATAGCACACACATACCTTAGCCTGTCCCTAGCCCTCATCTCAGACGGTTTCTTTCTGTTCTCTTCAGCAAATACAACAGTCAACTCCCTGCCTAAAAGAATCCGTCCATCCATTTCATACTTGGCATCCGCAGCATCTGCAGGGTCCACAAATTGGACAAAACCAAACCCCCGAGGCTCTCTGCAACAAATGGCAAAATCAAATGCAGGTCCGTATGTCAACTTACTAGCTCCAGCAAACTAACATCCAGTGGGACTGTCAGAAAGCTATGGCTAAATTCTATTGAGAACCCTACATGCAAGAAAATAATGTTTATACTTCACTTGGTTGCTGATCTTGCCTTCTGGATGCGTATAAAGTTGACTTCAAATTCTTCAATTGAATATCGTCATAATGCATAACTTCAAACATCATCCCTTCCCCATCCACCAGTCATTATCAGGACTCTTTAAGACTTGATTGACATCTTCAAACTTTATTTTCACTGTTAAATCCCAACAGCCTTGATAAAAATGCTTAATGATCAATTACGAAAGTATACTAGATGAATTGTACAGTCTCCACCAGAAATATCTATTCTATGTTTGGAAGCATACAATTTACATAGCCACAGTACAGTCTTCCCATAAAAGCTTGCCACACTCTAGAGAGAATAGCTTGTCACTGCATATTTTTTGTAAATAACAAGGCTAGATTACTATCCAAGTACAAATTTGAAGTCTGCTCCAACAATTAAACTGTGAAAGTGCCAACAGGTGGCTGAACAAAGTTCACCTCAATCTACACATGATAAAGCATACATAAATAGATACTATGTTTTCTTTTCTGAAGATTTTATGACTGAATGGCCTCCAGCATTTAGTTGCAATCTACAATTAGATGTAGATAACTACAAACACAAGTTTCCATATGCAGGAATTTTATGACATGTAGATCACGATGCAATTTATGAAATTCACTGAACTGCATTACCTGCAACATAGCTAGCCAAACATTAAGTCTGTACCTAGGGAAAAGGCCAATGAGTCCCGATGTTTATGCTCACATGGGCACATGTGTCATATACGTGTATAAGTGTATTTTATGCTATGATGCACGGATACGGATACGGGACACGGATACGACACGGACACGGATATGGAAAAATCCAAAAAAATAGGATACGGGGATACGGCAAGGAATTTTTTTAAATTATTATTATATATAGAAAACTTTATAAAATAGGAATTGGGGGTGGACTTGAGGAGTCGGTCGGCGGGATCGGGTTGGAACAGCGGAGGCGTTCGATTAATCGAATCGAACGGGAGTGCGCTGAGAGATTGACAGAGAGGATTAGGGTTAGGGTTTTTTCTTTCGTTTGAGTCAGCTGAGGATCGAATCGAACGGGAGATTTGAGAAATAAGGATGGGTTTTTTAATCGAACGGTTCGGATTGGATTTTAACAACCAAACCCGCAACCCGAATGAATCGGCCTTCGGCGAATCCGAGTCGTGTCCGAGCTCATTTGACCGTGTCCGAGCCTAATTTGACCGTTGACCCGTGTCGGACACGGATTGACCGTGTCCGACACGTGTTGCGCACGTGTCGTAACGAATCCATGTCCGATTCGAGTCGGACACGGATTCGTGGCCTCCGGGGACGAATCTGTGCTTCAGAGATTTTATGTATGCCAACAGTTTCTCATGCCTTAAACACATAAATAGGTTTGAAAGTTATGAAACAGAACTCAAGTGCTAGCTTACCCTGTGTAGTAATCGTGTGGTAAATAGATGTCCTTCAGAGGACCAAACTGTCCAAATGGCCTACGAAGATCCTCAGGTCTGCAATCATAAAACATAATAAATTTGATGAGACAAGATCATGCAGATGCCATGTAATACTGGAGGAGGAAACAGACAATAAATATGAGACAAAAAAGCAATGTCATTCCAAGGCCAACAGAACTGTCTAGTGTCAGTAAATGAAGGTTCTACCCCTCCGTATAGTTCAACCCTACTGTCAATAATCTTATACGCGGTAATGAAGAGTATATAGTTAAAATTTTGACCTAAAAGGGCCAACTGCTAGAGTGATCTTTATCAAATGGCCAGCGAATTCAGGTTCTGACATTTTCCATTTTCATATACAGTTGGAAACACGTTTTAGGGAAAGGAGCACGCTAACAGAGAACAATTCATAGGATGATAAGTGTAACATGTTAAGCTCTAATAGCATGCCAATCTCAGCCACTAAAATCAGCAATGTTTGTACGTATATGATGTATATATATATATATTAAAGAACATAAATTCTAGTCATGTCCTCATGTAAGGATGGTGGGGATTCCTGCGTGACAACCCATGCTTGTGCCAAAGTACGAAAATCATTTCCCAATCTATGAACATACACCCCAAGCTAGAAACCTCCCATAATCTGAACATCTTAAGCTTACACAATTATCCTGTTCTGGCAAGCCTTGTGGCATAACAATTTGCACAGCTTACGATATCCTGTTCTGACAAGCCTTATGGCAAAACAATTTGCGCAACGTATAATAGATTGGTAACAGTAATATTCATATGGTATTTTTGAATGATCTGTCAGTTTTGTGGAGTGGGAAATTTCTCGACCATTTTTGGTTGTTTGTTGGATGATCAATCATAATATTCCCAAACTCTATCCTTTACTGGGTTCTCCTATTATGACTAACCAGTGAATTAAGAATCATAGAGAAGGAATTGTCAACCACCTAGCTCAATATTAATGCATCTGGTTCTAAGAATCTGTGGTCAAAGAGCCTCCCTTACGTTCCCCGCTTGGTAACATTGTAGCGTGCCCAAGAGACTGGAAGTTTAGTCGTTTCCTAGCAGGAAAAGGAGGGATGAAAGAGGAACAAGATATTTGTTTTACTTAATGGAATGAAAAAAACTGTGGTTATTGACTACAACTAAATTTGAAACAACCAGTCAAACAAGGGTTGTTGCAAAGAGGCAACGAGCAAGTACCAGTCTTTACATATCCCAAATGTCTGTCTCAAGATAGACAACCACTGTACGTCTTTCATTGTCAACTTCAACAGTCATAATGCAAGTAACATATAAGACAATCGTTCTTTGTTCCCTGGTGCAGCTCCAAGACAAAACACTTCTCTTTTTTGAACCAACACTCTATTGTAACCCCCTATTTTGAGTGCTTTTTCATTCACTGTTTTCTTCCCATTTTTTTCTTCCCGCCAAACCCCTAGTTTCCTTGATAACAGGTAGTGCAACAACTACTTTAGGCTATGTACTTGGATCTGGTTTCAGAATTATATGCTCATGCATAAATGTGACATGCTTCTGGTTTCCGAACCATATGCTCATGCACAAATATGACTATCTTTCATGTTTCTGATTGGTACATCCAGGCGACAATTTTTCAAGGAATATATTCCACGAGTCTCAACATTGAGACATGAAAACTTAGCAAAATGATAACGAGAACAACAATCATTCCTAAGCCTACCTCTCACATTATTTGCATGTCCTAAGTTTAAAACCAAGAAAGTGCTGAGAAGGATGTCAGATACATCAATGTCCGTAATAGCAGGAAAATATAAATTTGTCTTGCACAATATCATGGACGCAAATAAGTAGTTCATGTAAACATACCTACAATCACGATGAAGGTTCCGAACTAGAAGGCTAGTTGGAAGATCCCTCCTGTGACCACCATGGCGACCTCTTGGGCTTGGGCTCCGTCCTCGTCTCCCATAACCTCTTGGTGGAGAAGGACTATAACTGTAACTCCTTTCCCTGTAACTTCTTCCCCTCATCATGAAGCACCATAACCAATCTGCAAGAAGTTTTAAAATAGAAGAGAAACGTCAGTAACTGTATAGAAATCATATTAAATGTTGCTTGCAGTTGCAGTGAACTGGCATAAAAAGTTTGTTACAGGAGGAATAAACATACAGAAGACAAACATAAATTAAAGGGTTCAGACTACTTCCATCTGTGCAGGCTGGCAAAAGCCCCAACCGAACCCTTCTATTTGTGCAGTTCAAATGATTAGCAAAATTGGAAGATTCATTTATTAATCAAAAAGCTGATATGAATAATCACAGGACAACCAATAGGGGTTGCATTAGCCTCCAATTATCAGAAATATTATTAATTATGAAGGATGTGATGTTATTCTAGAAACTGTCTTAATCTTTTCAAGAATATAATCATAGTTTGACGTATCACTGTTCCTTCAGAAGGCTACAAAGTGCATATTACTGCCAATATTAGAACCGAAAACACTGATAAATTGCCACTGATGCCTTCTTGAGGGCTAAAGCTACAGTGTGTCTTATAAGAGATCCTAGACTTAAAAACTATGTTGCTTCTCCCATTCAAAAGGAGAGTAATTAAAAAAGAAAGCAAAAGAGGATAAATGAACATTTGCACAAATTCCTCTGTTTTCAACGGAGAATACATAAAATGAAGAAACTATATAAATATAGTATGTGAAACTTCTACAAGGCTTCCTTTTCTGGGAAATTATCACTGAAGCCTTGTTTAGCAACATGACAATTGTCAATCGTATAACAAGGGTGCAATATTGACCCAACCCGGAGGGTTGATCTGAACCTGATGAATAATCATCATGTATTTTGGGATTAGAGGTAGGGATCATAACCAGGCAAACCGCTTAACCAGGAAATGATCACTATGACACATTGATCCCGTCTTGCATAGGATAACAAGATACTATGGGTGCATTTTGAAGGCTTAATCTTTGAACTAGCATACTATTCGTTTAAGCCTAGAAGTAATGTTGCCGTGAACTCAGCTAAGACAGAAACCCCATGCTCCTTCAGCTTGCAGGAAACTCTTTACTGCTGCAATGAACTCACCTAAACCCCATGCTTCTTCAGCTTGCAGGAAACTCTGTATGCAACAGTTACAACTTTCACACTGGACCAAAGAAACTTAGAAGGTTAAATTTCACAAGCCCCCTACAATACTTTGGGGCATTTCCCACAATAACCCCCATTAATTTGCTTTTCCACTTAACACACAACTTAGCACCGTTAATTTTAAACCCACCTTCGCAAAAGTATAAGAGTACAAGTGACTAAAATACTCTTTTTGTGATTAGATGTTCCCTACAACATTCTTCACAAGATGTGCAATGAATCCACAAAGAAAACATTATAAGAGGAATTGTATTCATAAAAAGGTGAAGTAATGCCTCTAGGCCTACAATCCTTTGCTTAAGTATAAAACAAAGTAAACTCCTTCTAGGACCCGAAGTCTACTAAACATAGAAAATAACAAAAAGATCCTTAAAAGACTCACTGCGATTGAGGAAATTAATCGTTCAAATTTGAAATAAAATCGGATTTATTTCCTAATCAAAACGGTCTCCTAATTATTACCCAAAATAGTAAAAAAATTAACAAAAAGAGCCGTGCGCTCAGTCTTTTTTTAGGGGGGGGGAGGGCGGGGGGGGGGGATTTAGCGAAATGGATGGCAATAAACCAAACACAGTCAATTTGATTGACTCCCTTTTCAAATAAATATGCAATTTTCATATATTATTTGTCCAATTCTAGCATATGGTTTGGGAGATACAGATTGGTCTTCAATGCAAGTCAATATCCTCTGTCAAACCCCCATTTGGGCCTCTGACGGTCTATTTCCTTCATGAACTCATCTGCAACACATTTTACATCAGTCTCTCTTGCTTGAAAAGAGCTTGACCCTAAGCTTATGCTTGCATGAACATTTGCTCCCTCTAATTAGTACTCAAAAAGATCCGCAACATTGAAACTAGGAGAGATGGCAAAGTCTTCGGACTCTAACAATTCAGCCGACTCTAAAGGAAGATCCCATTATTAGAAGATCACCAAAAATGGATCTGATAAGGTTACCAAGAGTGCGATTTACCACTTCAATCTGGTCGTCCATTTGAGAGTGGTAAACGATAGTGAATTTGAGCCAACTTTGAATCGCTGCCACAACGTCCTCCAGTAGTAGGACAAGAATTTTTGAGTCTGGTAGACCTTGACACTATGATTAATGATGCATAACAACTTAAGAGGATCTAAACTAACTATGGTTAGCATTCGAATATATTGTTGGATTTTTGTTTGATATTTTTGTTAGATAATTAATTAGTTGATTTTCTATTTCATTAGTTGATTTGTTTGTTTCATTACCTGTGATTTGTGGCAAGGATTGGTTTATTTTCCATTGTCAAGTTTATTTATAACTAGCATGTATTTCTCTATTTTAAAGATAGACATTGATGAATAAAATCTTAAGTTAGACTCTGTATAAGCATGAGAATTGCTTTGGTGTAGGTATGTGAGTTACGTAGGGGGTGAAGCCCAAATTTTATTTATAATTTTAGTTTAATTCTTTTGTTCCCCTTTTTCCTCTTTCTTGCTTTCTGTAACCACGGTAGATCCCAAACAATGCCGTCTCTTTGCCCTACCTCTTTGCAATTTTGCAGCTTACAAACAACCAGCATCCTCTTTGCTGCATATTATCATGATCAACACCGAAACCTCTCAAACAGCCCTAAATGAGTGTCAATCACATCCATTAACAATAACTAGTTGTTGTCCAGTCAAAACAGTCCTCTTATTTTTGTTTCTTCTTCATTGTTGTTTCTGTTCCTCATCAATTTACTATCTTCCAAAAGAAAAGCTTAGCAATTTTGCTAGCATATGTTGTGTGTGTGTGTGTTTTTTTTTCACAAGATGAAGTATAGCATCTTTGATAAGCTATCAACCACAACAAAAACAAAAACCATAGTGCATTCAGTTCTACCCAAAATCCATCGAGATATCATGCCACAACATATCAGGAATTGGTGTAGGCGTGTATGATCCCATGCTTAGGAACGATCCCTTATTGACTTAACAAATTGAACGTCACATGTGCTTTTTGGTTTGCTCCAGCTGACGTTAGTAGTATTGCTTCTCAATGGAAGCAATTGTCTCATCACGACTTAGATGTCCTAATCTACCACCACGAAAGTCTCTCTGAATGAACTCTAAGGTCCGCACAATTGATCTCTACGTAATAAATAACCCTCCTAAATATGAAAACCTCTAGCTGGTTAATTTTTCAGATAGTTGTCCCACGCCTCCTTGATGCCTTCATCTTCTACATAGAACTCCCTTAGGTAATCAAATCTGGTCATCTTAGCTTGCAATGTTACCAACAAAATAGCTCTTTGCATACAACCCTATTTCTGTTGCCTAGACTTGTGCTTCAAAACAATGGTCAAACGTTGCAGAAATGCTATCCAACGAACACACATACAATTAATGATAGTCTAACCGTTAGACTTAAAAGGACAAATGATCGGTGTTAAGCAAAAACTCCCACAGATCCAGTAATGCTCCCAATGCTTCAAGGACTAGACTATGATATACAACTCCAACTTCTGCATGGTAGAGCCCTGTCCAGCTTCACTAAGCTTCTTGTTGAAGAAAGCAATCATACGCCCCTCTGAGGAGAGAACACTAATACCTATGACGGATGAAATCTGAAAATGCTAGCACCTATCTAATGAGTGCAAACCTGCAATTGCATCGCAATTAAAATTACCCTTCTCATGCACTCTATGATGGGTGTGACGAGTGAGCTAAAATTCCTTACAAATCTCATGTAGGTCATGAAAGCTACAAACTTCACTGACAGTTTGATCGGGTCAATCTCGAATAGCACGTATCTTCTCCTCATCAACATGGATACCCTTAGCACTAACCATAAAGCCCAAGAATAACAGGACACTAGTCATGAAGTTTCACTTTTTTAGATTGATGTACAACTCGTTCTCTAGCAAAGTCGTTTAATACCTCCCTCAAGCACTCCAAATGAATGGACTCGTTCTAGCTGTGAATCAGGATATCATTGAAATAAAGTGCAACGAGCTTCCCAATGAAAGGTTTTAATACCCGATTCATCAGCAACATGCACGTGCTAGGGGCATCATGGATAGAGGCATTGGAATGGACAAAAGGCGTAACCAACCACTCCTATAGGTCTTTTTTTTGTCTTGAAAGAAGTGTTTCACTTATCTCATTCTCTGATGGGAAGATTAAGTTAGTGGTCAGCCGACTTATGGGGAAGCGTCTACATGGTAGGACGTCGTATGGATGATTAGTGTTGATCGATTAAAGAATCCATTTCGAATGTGGACAAAGTTGAAGTAATTATTGAAAGACCATTTTTGCCTTTATGTTACAATATCATGTCTTTGCAAAAGACTTTTACCTTAGCCAATACAGTCAATCTAATGAAGAAAGTGGTGCTACAACTTAGACAAAATAACAACCTTTCTCATGAATATTTTCAAAATGCTCACACTAGTTATGACCATAGCGAGATTAAGAAATCGGAATCCACCGTTGAGCAAGACTTTATAGTTGTGGAGTAGTTGTGGAGAGCACCAAAGAAGCCGGAAGGACTACATCAATTATGCCAATCACTAAACCGAGGTCATCCAACATAGAGACTGTAGAGGACAAAGTGAAGAACAAAACATATGCAGATCTAAAAAACACAAAAGAGGTTTACGCACAAGTTGTGAACGGAAAGAAATTCTACCGCTAACAAGATTCTCACTAAGGTGCAAACTCTCGTTGTGCATGAGATTCCTCAAGTTAATCGCAATATGTTAGTGAAGATGAATATTGCGTATGATAGTCCCAAAGCTCTTATGTGTGATATTACACTGGATGCTAGTGTCCCAATAGAGAAGGGTAGAATAGGCGATTGATCATACGTGCAACTTTTTAGGTGCAGAGTCTAGAGACAGTGAGATATTTCTTTAGAAAAGAAGGTTGATACTTCAAGCATTAGAATATGAAAACCAACAAGAAAAAGATTTGGAATAGCTATCCAAGTCAACTGTAGATACACGTGTTGCCAGTCACATACACATAATGTGCAGAAGATTTACACAAGTTTTCTTCGAAATAGTTTGCTTCAAAAAAGTCCAAACTAAGAAGGTAAAATAACAAATGAAGACGATCAATGTTAGGTATTACTTTTGCACTGCGTTAATTGGTATCACAACCTTGTTTCTCTGACCCAATGGCAAGCAACGTAGCCCTATTACCCAAACTAAGTTTAATGAGCTCTGCATTGAATTTGATGAGTTGAAAACCAAGGTTAATCAAATTAAAACTTTCATGGACGGACTTGCATTGACAGTATAGCATCTAGATCATGTAGATCGCGTTGATAGTCGCTAAAGATGAGATCCAAACTCCGCAAAACAAATCCAACATCAATAATCATGAGGCTATCGTATGGGAGAACTATGACGCTGGAGGAGTCAAATTACCATCCTTCAATAGAATCTACATGCCGGGAATTTCCTTGATTGGACTGCTGAGGTAACATAGTGCAAAAAGTGATAACATCGAAATTAAGTAAGGGTGTCTTTTGAAACCACAAAGATCGATCTTTGGTTACAAGGAGAACTTCAAATCCATAACGAAAATATTATAATAGGGATTTTATTGATAACAAAGTGATATTTTTCATGAGATCCATAATCCTTGCTCTTAAATAGAAAAACATAGCCTAATTCTAATAGGAACAAAATTCCAAAATGAAAAAAAGACAATTTCAAAAATTCCCTTTTAAGACTTCATATAATACAAGAAACAAATCAGTCTTTATCTAAATCAAAATTGAGTTTGTTTCCAACCTAAGTAAGCTACTAACATTATTACTAAAAATAAACTAAAAGCTAATTGTTTTATGAGTTTTACCAAAAAAAGGTACTGCTGATGAAATTTCAAGAACTTGCTAACCTAGTTCACTCCAGCTCATCGAAATAAGCAACTTTCACATATAATATGTTAGAATCTGCCTTTCTAATTAGGCGAATCTACAAAAAGCGATCTTCGACTTCCACGAAGAATTCAAATCTA